ACCAGTAAGATCTATCTCAACCCTGCACCTAAAAAACGCCTCGGTTGCACAACGACGCCCGGGTCAAACAAAAAACGTCTCAAAACTAAATCACACGGCCACCGAAGCAACACTACCGCCCAGTTCTGCCCGAACCACCCGGGGGCTCGGGGGCTACACCCGCGAGTGCGCTCGCGCGCACCCGCCGGCACAACGCAAAAAACCTCTCCCACTGACAACACAAGAAAACCCCCCAGTCGGTTCTGCCTGAACCGCCCGGGGGCTCAGGGGCTACACCCGCGAGTGCGCTCGCGCCCACCCGCCGACAAGACAAAAATCCCCTGGATGATTCTACTTGAACCGCCGGGGGGCTCGGAGGCTCCTGTCGGGTTCACAAACCTGAGGTCCCTCAGGGACCGGCTTCTGCACTAGGGCTCGACCCAGGAAAAACAGCATGTTGTTCATGGGCCGGCCCGAAGGTCTAAGAATACGATGGGCTGGAAGGACAGTCCGGTCACCGACCGGAAGGTCCGCCTGAAGGAACAAACGCTCGCTCATCAACCTCTTCGGCCCACCTCCGACCGGAGCGCTCGCCTCGGGCACCAGCCGCCTCCGGGCGGTCTCTCCGATCGGAAGGCCTGGCCTAAAACGTTGTTTCCTACTCCGACCCCGCGACTCAGACCGGGGACCCGTAGGAAGCCTGCGTAACGCTCTTCTCCGACTAGCGCAGCCAGGACCGACTGGAGCCATCCAACCGGGGACGCCCGCTCGGAAGGGACTAGGGGCGAATGGAGAACGCAGCACACTAAGTCAAACCATGATGCCGGGGCCATACCCTGTACGCCTGCAGAAACAGCGCTCCACGATCGCCCTGGCACGAGCAGTATTGTAGGCGCCGACATTTATGTCTACAATATTGTAGGTGTCGTTGGACTCCCGTACGGCAAAAATCCCCACACATGCCTCTGGGCATCGGTAGTGGGCGCCAGGATTCACCATACCTGGTACACGTGGTAGGGCTCCTCATACATCAACAGTATTTTGCAGGTATCAACATCCACCCTTCCTAAAGAAGCCAACACAACTTCCCATGTGCACCTGACATTCTACAGTGACGTCAACAGTATTGTGGGCGCCTACCATCGTCCCTACCCTCGTCGGCGTGGGCAACAAGGCTTAGAAACATCCGTACTCTCTCCCTCTCACATGTAAATCCATCCCCTTTATCTATAAAAGGGGATGCGCTCCCTCCAAACGGAGGAGGACGATTCTTCTTCAAGTTTAGATTCACTAGATCGATAACTGGCAACCCCTCAAGCATACGCTTGAACAACTAGCTTATAGCGGAGTTTCGGTCGCCCTCGGCCCTTCCGGTCGGACCCGACCGGGCCTCTCGTACACCCCTCTTTTCTCCTTTTCGTTTATAACCCCACTACAGACTTCGAGCACCTGGGCTCAAGAATAAAGTCACTGACCGACCCAGAGTGGACGTAGGGCACGTTGCTTGAACTAGTATATATCCTGTGTCATTGAGTACTAGGCCACCTCCGATCACAACGTACGATAAAACTACAAATATTCACTAGTTGGTCACTTTCTGTACCGACACATACAGTCTGAGTTTCTATAAGAGACTCATTAGCTAACCATCTAATCCATTATATGACGCTAGTTTTAAAAATCCTTCTTGCGACATTACTGAACCGCAATACTCATGAATAGGAACCAGGAGGCTCATAACTCTAACCCTAGATCTTCTAAACACAACACCTAAACATCCATACATACACAATACTCATCCATAGGAACATATATACACACATCTGAGGCAGAAAACGGCTCACCGTGGACATGCATATCAGATCTGCAGACCGCACGGGATGGAGGAGCAACTAGAACGACTGGACGACGTAGATCGGACGGAGACGACATGGATCGAGCCCGCATCCAGGCCCATCCTGGCCCGGGACGAGTGTGGTGTTGAGCAGCTGCTGCAGTCGACCCACGCGGCGGCGCTCGGCCTTCAGACAGCTCGCCCAGTCTGGGGACGACGGCACTAGCCAGCCGGCTAGCGGGGGCCATGGCGCGGCGGTGGCGGCATGCCAGGCATGGCTCTCGGTCGCCCCATCCCGGAGCGCGTGGCCATGCCACAAGGAGACGGGGGGGAGGGGGTGAGTAGGGCCCTGCGCAGGTGAGGAGGATGCGGAGGGAGCCAGTGTTGGCGCTTCCGGAGGAGGCGCGAGAAGAGAGTGCACGCTGCGGAGAAGAAGACCGAGGGAGAGAGCGAGAGCCACGTCGGGCTTCTGGGAAGAGACGCCAAGCGCCCGAGCTACCGAAGTTTGGGGATAAGGAGCACGGCTTCCTGGTGGATGTGTGCGTTCTGTTTTTTTTCTTGTTTGTGTTGGCGTGCGCTATATTTTTCTTTTTTTTAACTAGACGGTGAGATGTATATATGTCTATGCAGCCCGCAGTCCGACGGCATGGCCCCAAACAAGGTTTTTTTGCCCGGCCCAAGCACGGCACGACCCGATGCATAGGGGCGTGCCTGGGCCGCACTCTAGGCACACGGGCTGGCACGGCATGGCCCGCATTTTAGTGGCAGGCCTGGTGGCGGCCCGATGACCACCCTGGCGCCCTGGCCTGCTAAGACGACGATGGCGCGCGGCGGGAGAGGATGAACTTGCAGCGGTGTTTCACTGGATTTGGGATTTGGGGAAGGGAAGGGTCTAGGGTTTTCATTGTACACGTGCCGGGCCAAAATTTGCGCATGAGCTCATTGTAAGCGGCGTGGTGGGGCCCACTTATTTTTGGCGACAGACAGTGCCGGTATACTTATTTTTAGCGACAGACAGTTCAACGTTAAATATCAATATCTATAGCAACAGACAATAAATCGTTAAATGAGGAATTAGCGACAGATGATCTGTGAGTTATTTTTAGCGTCAGAACATCCATCGGTAAATCTGAAGGTGATTCGGTGTGGCGTAGTGAGTCGTGCGGCTGAGACGTCGTCGGTGTGGCAGTGGTGCGCCGGCGGACAGGGGCAGTCACGGTGATGCATATGGCCGCCGGGGATTATTGTACTAGCCGAAGGCGAAGCTGGCCGGGAACGCGGATTTGATCTTCGCGTCGCGTCGGCGGTTTGCTTGGACTCACGTACGTTTGGTTGCACCGTCACCACGTACTGTACTACCTGGAGCCTATGCGAGGTGTATATATCGAACGATGGCTGGCCTGGCGTCGCGGGTTCGAGATCAGATTCCGTGCCGCGCCCGGAACGGTTTCATTCATGCACAATCTGTAGTAAATCTAGGAAGTAGATCACAAGTGTCATCAGATGCTAAAGAAAGATTTTGTTTCAAACATGAGCGAGGACAAATAACATGCACACATGGAGTCTGAGGCGGACGCACCCTCGACGTGCACCTCTGGGAAACAAAAACAAAGCGGACTACGAGACGCCGTGGTACAAATGTACAATACAGCGCGGCCGTTCTGGCGCCGCTGCGGTGGACACGGGCTCGGGAACATGGAGTTAGAGAGGCTCTGCGGACCGGGCTGTCCGGGCCAGCATCGTGGTGCGAGATGCCAATTGCTAGCCCAAAAGGCCCAGGTAATAACCAAACAGAGGCACAGGCGCTGCGCTTGACTTGCCTGTGCCGTGCGGTGCTTCAGTTTAGTCCCACCTCGGCCGCCTTGAGCGGGCGGGAGCGGAGGAAGCTTATAAAAGCAGACGCAGGGCACGGTAGCAACTCATACCTTTCTCGGCCTTTTGGCTAAGATCAAGTGTAGTATCTGTTCTTATCAGTTTAATATCTGATACGTGGGCCATGTGCGTACTTCGATATTAAATTAATTTTTTGTGGGGGAGGGTTCACCACAGTGGCTTGCCACTGGGTTCTTGCGTGTCGCTCGGGCGTTGCACTACTGCCCGAGCCTGGCGCACCCCAGCCAAATCAAAAAGAAATTTTGTTTGGCCTAAACAAGCATGGGCGAAGTGAAATCATCCTTAGATGTAATCGAGGTCTTAAACTCGCCGTTCTGATTAAACCTAGGAAATTAGAGTCAAACTAGTCTTTTATAATTAGAGTTGTTTTGTGCACCTGCCCTGAATCCCGTACCCCGAGTTCAAATCTCGATGGGACCTTTTATTTTTGTAGATTTTGTTTTGATTGTTTTTTTGGCTGTTCTCATCCACTATTTTATTTTCTAAATCGATTTTTGGCAGTTCTCAACCACTAATATAAAACAGTTCTTATAAAACGAAAACAGAGGTCTGCTGAGTACGCCAGGCTTCCGCGCCTAGGCTTTGACTCCCCCACTGTCCATATGGATTTAAAAAAAAAAAAAACTACTGTCCATATGGATTTGAGTGGGAAACAAGCTGTTTTTTCTCTCCCAGTCCCTCTCAAGTCTCAACACGTATGTATTGGAGCGTTTATTTTTCTCAACCCACCCAAACTGTGAATACAGCACCAGATCTGTTTGGAATTTGAATAAAAGCAAGTGATAGGCCGTCTCGCGGCTAGTGCTGGCTGCCAGGAACTCCTCTCTGTTGTCGCCGATCTCCATAAAGTTCAGATTGCTTGTTTTATCAGTTTTCAAACTCACCAGAAGCTACAACAGACCATGGAGGTACCATCCATTTCGCCTTCGGTGTTCAAGCTCACCAGATGAAACTGCAGAATGCTCCATCACACTCAATACGCACCGGTGGCTATGCTCAAAAGTTTTCAGCTGCACAAGTATGATCTCATTCAATCCAATGATCATGATCACCTTTAGAAGAGTTTTGGACCCCAACCTGAATTTCAGAAGAGTTTTGAATGGCAAATGGCTCTATCTAAGAATTTTACTGGCTTGCATTTCAAGGATCGCACACCCAGTGTGCCATTTATTCCATTTCAAATGACTGAGATAAGGAAGAAAAGAGAAAGAAAAAAGAAAGATCTGTATACACAACTTTTCACCTAGAGGCATCAAAGAGATGCACACCAAGTATCGCTAATCTGCGGGTACTCCTACACAACAACACTTTCTTCAAACTCTATGGGATCCGGGAAATTTTCCCGTGAAGCCCTCTTGAATGAGAATGAATTCTCTTCGTACTCATTGCTTGCCTCGCTTCCCCGAGACTTTGCTGTATTTTTCCGAGCAAGTGCTTGCCCCGACGTTGGCATGACCTCCCAGCTGTAGTACTTGTTTCCATGGAAGGCAAAACGCCAAGAGCCGTGAGATGGGGTACTTCTGAGATGAGATGCGTTGGATTGGAGCTCTTCCTGCTCCCGCACCACCCTTAGTGGGTTCTCCAGTGCTTTCAAGATGTAACGGGCGAGTGGACGCCTAGAGGGCTTTGGATTCAGGCATGTCTTCGCGACGATGGCCACTGCCCATACTTCCTCTAGGTGGTCGTCATCCACAACAAGGGTAGGATCTACAATACCTGAGACACCCTCCTTGTCATTGGCATTGATGTAACCTAATGTTCTTGCTAACCACTCTTCTGAGTCTGCGTCAGTTGAGCCACTCGCACCAAAGTTTCCGGTGATTAGCTCTAGTAGCACCTTCCCAAAACAGTAAACATCGTATGAGCAGGTAGCTGGTGGACCTGTAAAGTGAGAAGCAGATATCATAATATTACAACACAACTTTATTTTGCACACAAGCTCTTTTAGTTGCCTGAATGTGTATATAGAAATTGCAAATATTGAACAAAAGAGAGCTGATGAGTGCTTTACACACCTGATATGTTCTTGTCAAGGGATCTGCCAGAAAGAAAAAAATACTACTGTCACCAAACGACCCTCATATATCATATAAATAGAAGTCTCGTAGAGTAGGTGTGTTGCTTGGCAGTACATTTTCTTAGGGGAAATGGTTGAAGTTAACCTACCTTACAGGAACACCGATATATGTTAAGATAGGCAAAAGGCCAGGTGTTTAACCAGGGTGAAGTATCAGTACATTATCCTACCATGAACTCTCTTAATTTTTACAGATGTCTTATCAATGTGGTTCAGGGACATAATATTGTAATTTACAAGTGTGATACTAAAAGACTCATTATGAGGATTCTCTAGATAAGAATTAAGCTACACATTCTTGGTGGGAGGAACTTTTGTAGCCACACTGGATTCTAGTTAGAAAATGCAGTACATGCACCTGATAGCACTATAGCCTTGTAGTTGTAGTCTGTTTTTGCATTGACCCAAAATTACTTAGCCTGCCTTTTGTGGTAACACACTAATGCAGTTGCCAGGTTAATACCATTTAGGTGATCAGACAGTACTAGTTTTTTCCTTTTAAAAGGAGCATGTTCATTAAATCAGTTCTGGGGGCAAGAATGGTTCTACACCCTAACACCCGTGCGGATCTGAGGCCAATAAAAGCATAGAGGATGGTTTAGAAATCTCACCTCGATGATCTTAGAATCCGAGAGAAGAAACTCTGGCTTCCTGCACTTTGTTGAGTGCATATTTCACCCAGACTCCCAAGGCGCACTTCAAAATTGTCATCAAGAAGCACACTGCTAGCTTGGATATCTCTACATTTACAATGAAGACATAAGTCGGAATAATAATGCATGCACTAACAGTTATCAAGATATCAAAAGAACTTGAACAACTTGCAGATATTCAGAATTGCATGACCAAAACTATATAAAATAGAAAGATAAGGCAACCAAAATGGGAAACTTCAATTAAAAATGACTGCCATCAAGCACACCAAAACTTAAAATTACAAATGTAGAGTTTCTTGGAACGACTGGGGATACCATGAATAGACATGTTATAAAAACAATATCTTCAGTACCATGACAGGGACATGACACTTTCACAAAACAATCAATCTATTTCATTGCCAAAATATGTTAGGATTTACTGTTGACATGGAACCAATGCATTTAAGCTTAAATGTATCAAGGTTCGTTTATTTTAGACTTTGAGATTTGATGTCCTCACATGTAAATGAAGGTTCAATGGAAGCCTGCACATGCTATTTTCCTTTAAGCTATGGTTCTTAGAAATACATAGTGTGCCAATTGATGCAGGACCACAAGGGACCATGTAGAGGACCCCCACCAAAATGTGCAACTACTAATTATTTTAAATGTACAAGTACCTTTAAGCTATGGTTGGTAGATTTTGTTTTGAGCTATGGTTGGTAGATTTTGTTTTGATTGTTTTTTTGCCAGTTCTCATCCACTATTTTATTTTCTAAATCGATTTTTGGCAGTTCTCAACCACTAATATAAAACAGTTCTTATAAAACGAAAACAGAGGTCTGCTGAGTACGCCAGGCTTCCGCGCCTAGGCTTTGACTCCCCCACTGTCCATATGGATTTTTTTTTAAAAAAAAACTACTGTCCATATGGATTTGAGTGGGAAACAAGCTGTTTTCTCTCTCCCAGTCCCTCTCAAGTCTCAACACGTATGTATTGGAGCGTTTATTTTTCTCAACCCACCCAAACTGTGAATACAGCACCAGATCTGTTTGGAATTTGAATAAAAGCAAGTGATAGGCCGTCTCGCGGCTAGTGCTGGCTGCCAGGAACTCCTCTCTGTTGTCGCCGATCTCCATAAAGTTCTGATTGCTTGTTTTATCAATTTTCAAACTCACCAGTGTTGGCCCACAGTTAGCCTCCCGACCACCGAGATGATCTCCAGACCACTACAGATAGCCTCCAGACCACCGATCACAGCCTCCAGACCACTACCTGATAGCCTCCAGACCACCGAGATAGCCTCCAGACCACTCCGTTGGTCTCACAGGGTCACCGGCTCACGACAGTGAACCACTCCAGCCGATCTTGCCGAACACCGGCTCAGGCGAGTGGAATACTTGTCGGTCTCGCCGAGCACGCGCTAGTGTTGCCGAGCACCCACTAGCCGTGCAGACAACGTACCGGCGTTGTCCGTACCCACACACTACGGATCGAGCTAGAAGAGGAAGGGAGAACAGAGCAAGCATGCAATAATAAAGGCAACGGCGTTGGCGAAGCCCTCATACGTGTGATGGTAAATCGAGCTCTCTTTACTAAGTTGCCATACATGTCTATTTATACAACTCTAACTATCTAGTCCATGTGCGGCGCCCATGTTTGCACGATAACTAGATAACTGGCGAAGGTGACTACTGCTGGCCGGCCACTACACTGTTCCTCTGATGTTGCGGTGTGAGCCGTCTGGCGCCTGCACCTACAATGCTCATCAGATCACAAATAGGGGACAAAGTCGGCGCCGCCTTCCCTTCTTTGTGTTCACACACGAAAGTGACTAAGTCGGCGGCGCCGCCTTCCTCTCATTGTGTTCTCACAAGGTGGCGATGAGATTAGCTAACAATCTTCCCTAATCCTCATCGCTAACCCTTGTAACCCCTCCATGCCGATCATCTCCTTCACTCCGTGAGTCGAAGTCTTCCGAAAGCGGCTTGGTGAGGACGTCCGCGAGTTGCCGACCGGTTTCGACAAACTCGATGACGATCGCGCCTCCATCAACGATCCACGAGGAAGTGGAACTTCACGTCGATGTGTTTACTCGGTCGTGCGAACCGGATTCTTCGCATGAGGGCGATGGCGGGCTGGTGGTCCACCATCGATCTTTGGTGGGTGAGCTTCACGCCGGTTAGCTCACCCAGCAGCCCGGCCGTGAGCACACACAACTTGGCACGCCGCTGTGGCCGTCGCTACGTACTCTGTCTCGCACGTAGATAGCGCTACCACCTTCTATTTCAGCGACAGCCATGAAATTGGGGTCGGCCCGAGGAAGACGAGTACGCCAGAGGTGCTCCGTCGTCCGTCGATGTCCCCCGCCATGTCTGCATCGCTGAACACCGTGAGCTACAGCCTACTTTCCCCAGTCTTTGGGAAGATGATTCCATGATTCACCGTCCCCTTGACGTAGCGTAGTAGTCGCTTTACCATAGCCCAGTGATCCTCTCTGGGATCCTCCATGAAGCGACTGACGCAGCCCACGACGAATGCAATATCCGGCCTTGTGTGGACTACGTAGCGCAGACCGCCGACGATGCTCCGGTAGAGTGTTGCATCTACTTTCGTCGCGGTGCTGTCCTTCGTCAGCTTCAGCCGCTCCTCCATCGGAGTCACACATGGTTTGCACTCCACCATGCCGCTCCTCTCCAACAGCTTGGAGGCATACGCGCTTTGCCCGAGCGTGAGTTCCTCCTTCCCCTGTCTCACCTCGATGCCGAGGTAGTAGGAGAGAGCGCCGAGATCGCTCATTCAAAAACGAGCTGCCATCTCTCGCTTGAAGCTGTTGATATCCTCCGTGCGCGCGCCGGGGACGATTAAGTCATCCACATACACGCCGACCACGAGTTCTTCCTTCCCCATCGTCGTCGGCGTGTAGAAGCGCGTGCTCGATTGCGCACCTCTCTGAAACCCAAGCTCGCCCGACGTGGTGTCAAGCTTGGCGTTCCATGCTCGAGGGCTTGCCTCGGCCCGTGAGAGCGCTTTGCGCAGATTGGAGCACCTGTGCTCCTCTCCCTTGACGGCCGAACCACGGAGGTTGCCCGGCGAAGACCGTTTCCGCCCGCCTCGCTCGCCGTTGAGGAAGGCCGATTTAACGTCCATGTGATGGACGCGCCGATCCCTTCTTCGCCGCCAAAGCAAGTAGCAAACGGACCGACTCCATGCGCGCTACTGGTGCAAAGACCTCCTCGAAGTCGATGCCCTCGCACTGGACAAAGCCTCGGGCGACGAGGCGCGCTTTGTACTTGACAATGGCGCCGAGCTCGTCCCTTTTGACTTTGTACACCCACTTTAGGCTGATCGGACGGCATCCTGGGGGTGGATCGACGAGTACGCCAAGTCTCGTTTTCCTCGATCGCCTTTTATCTCCTCCGGCATTGCCCGTCGTCGCCGATTTCCATCACGCTCGGCTAGCGCGAACGTGGGTGGTTCTCTCTGAGCGACGAGTAGCAGCTCTGCGTCGTTGAGCAGCCTACCCGCCATACCTGAGGGACCTGTGCCGCCGATGATGTCGTCCAGCCTGTGGAACCTCAACTCCTCACCTTCGTGGTAGGCGCCCACGAACTTCGGTGATGTCACTTGTAGGTGAGGCAAACTCGATCGGGGTGATGAAGTTCCTTCTTTCATCGGAGTGCCCAAGATAGCAGCTTTTGAAGTGCTCTAAGATCGCTTCGGATCGCTCGTCATAACTCCTGCAGTGTTCGGCCACACCGTGAGGAGTGTCCGACCTCGATCTTGGAGTGGTCGGAACCACAGTAAGATGTCTTGGCTCCGCCACGGGAGTGCTCGGTACCCGTCCTGAAGTGGTCGCCGCCACTGTAGAACCGCATGGCTCCACTCCTGGCGTGCTCGGCATTCTCCGAAGTGCTCGACTCCTCTCTGAGTGCTCGGCATCCCTCTGAAGTGCTCGGACTTCGCCCTGAAGTGCTCGACTCTCACCACGGAGTGCTCGGCGCTCCTCCCGAAGTGCGTGGCACTGTTCGCAGGCGTCTCCACCGCCGTGGATGACCAAGTGCTCGACGACGAAGGTGTTGGTGAAGCCTCCGCGCTTCCCCATGCTCGGATCTGTGCGGTCCCAAGTCGCCTCCTCGTTGAACACAATGTCGCGCGAGAGCAGTCACCTTGTCTCCACGTGGGTCATAGAGCGGTGCGCCTTGGTACCCTCACAGAGCCGGGGAACACCATGGGGTGTGCTCTCGTCCTCTAGCTTGGTGAGGGTTAACCCGTCTTCCGACGTGGCCAATGCAAATGAATGTCCGGAAGGAATGACATGTTCGGCTTGCTCCCCGCATTCAAGCTTGAACGGCGTCTTGCCCGTTAGGGCTTTTGGCCGAGCACGGTTGAGGATGAACACCGCCGTGGTCACCGCCTCTCCCGAACTGCTGCGGCATCCTTTGGCCTTCATCATGGATCGGGCCATGCCGACCATCGCTCCGGTTCCGTCGCTCCACCACGCCATTCTGTTGTGGCGATGCGGTAGCGGTGTGATGTTGCCCCACACCTTGATCCACGCGATGACGTAGCAAACTCCACCAAGTGAATTCGCCACCCGATCAGTCCTCAGTACGCGGAGCTTCTTGCCGCTCTCGGCCTCCGCGCGCGTCTTGAACTTCTTGATCGCCACCGCCGCTTTGTCCTTGCTCGTCAGGAGTTGCAGCCACATGTAGCGACTGCAATCGTCCATGAGTAGGAAGAAGTACCGCTGACCACCGCATGTAGCAGGCATGATCGGCCCACAGAGGTCGCCGTGAACTAGCTCAAAGAGCTTCCTTCGCGCGATACTTGGCCGCCTTTGGGAAAGGTAGCCTCCTCTGCTTCCCGGCCAAGCAGTTGTCACACAGCTCGCCTCCATGTTTGATGTAGGGTAGCCCTCGGACCATCTTCCCCAGCCGACCAAGCGCGTCGAAGCTAAGATGTCCGAACCGGGCATGCCACATCCACGGTTCCTCAGAGTGCCTTACCGCTAGGCAAACCGGCTGCTCTACCTTCAGGTCGAGCAGGTACAACCGGTTCAGGGACCTCTTCACCTTGGCGAGAAGTCACTGCTCCCGGTC